TTTGGGGAATGCCGACGACCAGTCAGAATAAACGGGCAAAAGGTGTTTTTATCTTACGCCAAGTTCCAGTTTGGCAAGGATTTCGAGCTGAGTTAAACGACCTCTCATCATTTGACGGTTTTCCATATTTCTTTTGAGATCTCTAGGAAATGTATATACCGGCTATGCTGTTGCCATTCATCGTTTATTTCAACCTAACACCTTTCGTGTCCTATTACTGTTTAGGTTTGTTCACCCCTTCTCAACACCACTTCTGGTTCAAAGTCTGGTGATGATCGCTACAATGCTGGTAATGATGCACCTCGCAGCCAATGTGCTTGCATCCTATGATCGGGAACATCTTTCTGTTCATAAAGAACTCCCTGTTGGTGTGAATCCAACTATTTGGAGTAAGTCATCTCGTTCAGCTGAACGATGTTGCTTCTTTTCTCTATCATTTTCGCGTTGTAACACACATTCAACTTGTTGGTGATGTAGGGCGAATGTTGGTAATTCAACAACTTCTTCGCCTCATAATCTCTGCCGTCACTTGATTCCGATCCGTGTGACAATGGGCTATTTTACTACAAGTTCAAACACTCGATCCACAAGTAATTCAACACTTCGCCTCATAATCTCTGCCGTCACTTGATTCCGATCCGTGTGACAATGGGCTATTTTACTACAAGTTCAAACACTCGATCCACAAGGCCACTATTTCGCAGCTACCGGGCGTGCAGGGAGGTAACTAACTGCGCGAGCTTCGCGTTTGTTCAGCTTTCTACCAGGCGAGTGCTTGCCAACCTGGTTTGTCCCCTCTTCCACCACAATGTAAACAGCCATTCCTGTGTTTAATTCCAAACAATATCACATCCCATAAGTATTAGGTAAAAGTAACGTAGGTCGTTTTCGTCATCTCAGTAAAGTTACTAAGAAATAGAGAACAATCCGTAAGACTCAGATAGAACAATTGGATTGCAATCCGATTACCAAGTTTGACAAACAAAATAACAGTCAATTTTCTTTCAATTATTTTGAAATCGCTGGGTCGTTTAAACAAACACTTTGTAGCATCCGTTGGAAGTCAGTAGCTACGTGGCAGAACTGACAATACTAAGCGTACCATCGTGGTGAACAGTGAGAACCAGGAATTGTGGGCATAACGGTGTATACCACTGATTAAGCGTGCAAGTAGTCTATGCACTCATGTCCAAACTCCACCCCGCGTCCGATGGAAGTTGGAGGTTACTAGGGAGATTATGGAACCACTTTGCGGTGTTCGTTCGCTGTTGTTTAATAGTCAGTTAACGTCCAAAAAAGTTCAACAGGACGCGTGAGAATGTTCACTTTTCAAGACATCTGTGCAGGTGAGATGTGTGCCTTTGTATCCAATGGCTTGTAACTGATTAGTTCGTATTTGCTAATGAACAGCATCGCAGCGAAGGAATTTCCTTTCATAGGCAACATGTCAGAAGTGCTGTAAGCGTGAAAGAGTTTACACCGAGCTTAAATATACAAACAGGTCTATGGTATTAAACGTACCCGATTGTACATGACCTGGTCACCCTCATCTATATTGTTCAGCTAAGCACATACGTCCCTGTCTGCCTCAACTGAATTGCTAACCTACCCAATCAGCAGTTACTCAAAATACTGTGCAAAATGGTGGATTCACTTCCCGCATTGTCAAAACAATTTACCTCTGGTGAACACTGATAAAGGTGAACTTCGAGCCTACTATTTCCTCTTTGGGAGTGAATCAACTGTAATAATCGCATCAGGACAGGAGAAGGGCTGTTACAGCAATGTTTCCATTTAAGTCATAGGTTTGTCTTCATTTTATTCAAGTCAGTGTCCTGGACTGAGAGCTACACCTTCCACTTACGCCGTCCAGTCTTCGACTGAATTATGAGCTTTGTGTTACACGTTTGTTTATTGTTTCTAATGAGAAGACCCACGTGCCATTTTTTGCATTCTGAAGTGGAATGATTCAATGTCAATGAGCTGGTTAGACGGTTGGCTGCCTTATATTTGTTCTCCCATCCCTAATGGGTCCACAGTTGTAGCTCAAACTATTGTACGTGCATAACTGGTGCTCTTTGGAGCCCGGATGATGAATATTTTTTGGCCCACTTGAAACAATTCGGCCAGTGGAGTGACGCTTGCTGGGGTGAGACTATTTTTACTGCCAACTACTCTTGTCTTCATAAGTACGCCGTTGCATTCTAGCCTTCTTACGATTCTCCCTCTCCCTCGGTTATCAAAAAGCTCAGAACGCAGCACACTCTGTCCTCAGAATTCATGTCTTTTGAAGTCAAAGAAGATGCTAACTTAATATCGCAGTTTCCTTAGACTGTTGAGTGCGAAATTAAATGCGATTGTTGTCCACCGATAGCATGAGGTACGTGAAACCCTGGAAGTACGGTAAGTTCTCTAGAAACAGTTTCATGAGTTATGACGCTGGTTGGTTTGTCTGAAAACCGTTCCGTCTTCCTCCTTTTTGAAGTTGCCAACGCTATCTTCTGCCAAGTTGAACTCGGTCCGTCCAAGCACTTTGATTTTTGAAACTATCCATAATCTTTCTCACGGACAATGATTATGGGAGAGGTTCGATGGTCCCATCGGATGAACTTATTTGTAGCAAAGTGTCTGTAGTGTTCCTGTAATGCTGTTATCTGGTTTACCACAAGCACTACGTTCCTCGATTGGACTCGAGTGGGTTAATTGTTTGTTATCTAAATCCAGTCCACTTTTTTATTGTTTCACTGACTTTTTCCCACCTATCTGCAGGTTCTCCTGTAACTTGTTTCTGGAAATGGACCGACTTCACAAGCTACGCACTGTTCACCGCACTCTTCATGGCTGTCGCTTCGGGGACAACATACCTACTCTCCAGTAGTCCCGTGTTCGTACAATTGCTAGGGTTCGTAGCGTTGTTTATCGAAGCCCTGCTTGGTCTGCCTCAGTTGCTCAAAAACTATCGAAACAAGTCCACGAAGGGGATGAGGTGAGACTACTCCCTTTGTGAACTTGTCCTCTGCGAACAGAACGTATAAGCATCCCTGTTTTGCATGTTCTGACGCCCCTGTATCAATAAGCTACTATCGGTTTTTCACTAGGGATAGCACAAAAAGTGTTGATATTTTGCTGTCTTCAGTCGCACCACTAATTATTCTCTAGAAGACGGATTTACTGAATCAAGTCTTATTCTTGGGCCAAATATCAGTGGTGTGAGAAGCACTTCCCTTTTCTGGGAAATCGCACGCTGTCGTTTGGTCAGCTGGAGCCAGTCACTATGACCATGTTTGGGCTGGTGTTTTGAGCAGCCAACCCAATGACCAATAGGAAAACTTTCTATGTTTTTCTCTCAGCTTCCATATACATCTATATATAATATATATATATAAAGAATGTAGCGGTCAGCTCATATCATTTAGGAACAGTTTACTGGCCTCAGAGGCTTTCTCACTGTATTAATGAAAAATGTCTAGTCCAGTAACTGAACGAGCAATATTCTCTTGATAGTAGGCTATGTAGTTACAGCGAACTGCCGGTAAGACCATAGCCACTCTTTCAGTGCCTAGCTGCCATGCAATCGGGAAAATGCACGAGACTCAGTCTATCAGGCCCTCACACGTGACTGAGAGTAGTTAGGCAGTAAAGATTTTGGACTCTTTAGTAATGAGCTCCTTCTTTAACCCTACTGAGGCAGGAACGCAGGTCTATTGAATCAGTTTCCAGCTGATGTTTCTACGGTGGGGTTCATGCTGAAGAAGCGGTTTTGACTGTCAGGCTATCCTTCACCGACCAGTAAAAGATAATCGTTCAGCTGTAGCACCATTTCGGTGCCTAGCTGCTATTTCACCCGAAAGGAACACGAGGGCTGGAATACTGCCAGGTTGTCCAAGCCTAGACAGGGAAAGTCGGGTTCGAACCACAGACCCACCGGTCAGTAAATTCGCACTCTGATTACCGAGCCACATCGCTCCCGACAAGTAACAAAAACAAAGCCACAAAACGATGCCACTGGAATATATGGAGAACCGTGCACACAATCAAGCAATTCAGGGCTAGGAAACTCAGTACAAGCAGTGGAACTTGAAACAGAGAGCCTTCGATACCCTGGGAAGCACATCCGTCCCAGTCGGACTCCATTCTCATCGTTGTTGGACAACCGAGTCGAATGCAACGGACGAAAATAAATAAACAAAGAGATAGATATCGCAGTCAACTGTCCGTAAGCTGTTCACGTCGCGTACCTCAACATGGCTTCTGTTGCATCCTGGGAATAGTGTTATATAAACCTATTCATGTGGTTCATTCGTTTCATTTTGTAGCATTGTGCTGTCCACAGTTAACTTCGTCGCTTGCTTTATGATAGGATTACATATATGTGTAGTATTACATCCGGGGAACCAATTGGCGTAGTGAATTGGCCCTGAATACTTTATTTCCATTGGTTGTCTCACTGGTAACAAGTGCGCTCAGGCTGATATGGAGATGTAAGCACTGGGCCGCCTCGAAAGGACATTTCTAGCCCACTAAAAGAACCGATATGGACAACGAGAAGTACGTTTATTGCCTACCTGAACCAAAGAGGCACTGCCCGAACGAATCCTAGCCTATGGCCGGACTCCAGTCGCTAGCAAGCATACTTCCTCAAGATGACTATCCGGGCAGATTCATTTCAAAATATTTGGTGACTACACCTGAAACAACCTTACTGGTCGTGCCATGAATTATACCGGTTATCGTCAGCCTTCCTTTCGGATGGGGATCTGGCTGCACTCCGTCTGAGCCGGCGTCCTCATCGTGCGTTGTGGCAGACGTATCCGGTTTCTTCATTCGAAGTGTGGTTCACAACCACAACTGATGATCTTGCATCTCGAAAATAGGTTGACCAATTCACTCCCAAAGCACGCTAGTCTAATCCTTCACCCGTTGTAACCAGAATCTGTTGTGTATTACACAGAAATTATACGGGGGAATAAAGGAGCGTGACTCATTCTTGTTAACGACCAGTTTGAAGCCCACGGTAACTGCAATGGTAGCTCACTTGGATCTTGGAGGTCGTGTGATTACCTGTGACACCGTATCTACTCTATTCCATCTAGGACCTGTCTGCCCACTGAGATCCATTCAATATCAGTGTACGACCACAGCTGGTACAACCAGGATTTGTGGCAACCCAGTTCTAGGCGTTCGCAAAGCGATCGTGTGTAGATTGAAACTCCTATGACCCGATCACGTGACAGCTGGCCACAGCCTAGTTGGCCGTGATGTAAGCCATTTACACGGTTTCGCCCACTTACTCTACTTTATCTCGATTTGGTCTGTGTATGTCTCGATTTGTTGTGACCAAAAGAAGATATGGCGAGAACGCTGATATTCATTAATATGTGTCCTGGAATGCTCAGGATAACTCTTAAGGAGTGTGAACAAATGGACAGCAGAATGTGGATCAGTAAAGGGCGGCGCGATATGTGATGAGTCTCACTTCATTAACTCTACTTCTACTGTCTAGCACAACAGACGAATTAGCGAATTGGGAAAACAATGAAGTCATCGTCGAACTTTGAGGTATATTTTGCTGAGTTCACTTTCTCTAGAGAGGACACAAAGCCTCCGATCATTCCAGTTTCAGTTCTACAACATCCATTACTGCCGCATCCGGTCTATCTGAATCCCTTCAGGTTTCTCCTAAGACTGTTTGGTAGGAATTCCAGTGTTGGGTTTCACTTGTAATCATTTGTAAAAGCTTGTCGGGACATTGTTGGGCCTTTTTAAAGACGAAGAATTAATGAAATGCTTTCACCCGAAAAAGAATGAGGAATCTATGGCCGCTAATTTTACACTGTTACCATGTCTTGGTTCGTGAGACTACCACACTCGATATTTCAGTGTTTTGTCAAGTTTCAATCACGCTGTGATGTTATGCGGCTTGTGTTGGTCGAATATCTTTTCTACTTGTAATCAGCGAGCATGAAACTATGCATACAGCCCAGCGATCTTTGTCGTAAATGGAAACGACTTTTGTCACCCTGGTGGCTCGCAAAATGTTTCGTGTAACTGTGCTTTTCGGAATCTGAGCGCATCATTGTTGACAAAAATGAGTTGAGTCTGTGGCTTAGGTTCTTCGTGACGATTGGCCGAATGAAAAACTGATTACTGGGTAACCAATCTGTCTAAGTCAACAACAGATTGGAGGTCACAACGGGAATCAAGCTCACCGGATGCGCACAAGTTTTGTCGGCGAGTGCGTTGTCTCCGGGCCAACATTATGCAAACGTTAGTCCAAGTCCACCCGAAGATCCCCAAAATGGGTTTAAAAAGTCGTACGTGGTTGTTGCTTTCGAGATCTAACCACTCTATCTATGGCACCTATCAACATTGAATAAATATAAAAGGTTTCACACGCTGATTCGCACCAAGGGATACCCACTTTGTTACTTTCGTGTAGCCCTTTCACTGGTAACTCTGTTTAGTCCTCAATTGGTTCTCCGCTGTCTCTTTCGTCCTCACGATTAGCCTCATGATGGTGGCCCTCTGGACAGTTGGAGATGTGGGCAAAAGCGTCTTTTTCATGCTGGAAGGTGCTCCGTTCGTTTTCCCGCTGTGTGGTTGGTTCCAAGTCACGTTGGACTGTTTTATTTTCGGACAGTATGTCTACTACAATTAGACACCTTGCCTGGTCAGACGCATGAACGAAGATCAACTTATATGGAAGTACGTAGAATGTGCTTCAACGTCGTGGCTAGCATTGTATATGAAGACATCCGAATAGCTGGCATCTGTCTTTGAATAAGCTGTTGTAGCATTGGCCTTTTGGACTTATTTTGTGCACCGATACAATCCTCCATGACCCTTATTTTGATCGCGTTGTCAACGATCTTTCGCACCCACTTGTCACTTTTCAACCGCATATCAGCAATTTCCTTCCAGCAGAGCGTTTTGAATTTCAGTTGCCCACCCACTCAACGAAGTCGCACAAACTCAGCATCCGAACTATTGAGTGACTGTTCATCGATGTTATATCTTGTGCCCTATTGTAAACAGCTGTTTTCGTCTCGGAACTTATATTGTTCCGGAAAATCGTCTTCAAATTGACATTTTTGACAATTCTTAATACTGTACTTTCGAATTTTGATAGAATTATAGTGTTGCATGCTTCCAAGTCGTTATTCACTCCCTTATTGTTATTTTCACTAATTGTGGATTATTTATTTTTTTCCGTGTGATTTTTTCCGCCATAATTCACTTGTGGTTGGTGCGCCTTGGAGCATAATTTCGCTTTCGTCTTGTTTTTCACAACCTTGTGTTTCCGAGTCCAATTTTTGTTTGAAAGAAATCAGTTTTTCTTGACTTGCACTTCAATTCATGCCTTATATGCTTCGTATTTGACAGGAGGAGTCTAAGTTTTGCTTCTCTGAGTGTGTGCGGCCACACACAAGGCCTCGGTCGTTATTGTTTAATAAACAAAACCGCTGTTTCTCCCCCGGATATATCATTTTTAGACTGCCTAAAACATACATGCGCATACGCTGGAAGACCTATAAGGTATACTGATAAGGTTTGCACACAGCTTCAACAGACCCCTTGATATCGTGGACGAACTAACTGAAGGAATTGTGGGTGTCATGGAATCTGAGGGCGAGAAATGCTTCTGTGCAGTTTGATGAGAATAATGCAAAACTGCTATTTTGGTGATAAATCACACGTCTTGCAACGTGCCGATTTCTCCATCTGTACATTTCTGCGTCCCTATCAAGTGTTTTAAGGTCCTTCGGGAGCAGAAGCGCAAAATATCATGGGAAGCGACTTGAACTGTGATGCAGGCTACAAACCACTCCTCCTGTAGGACTTCGATAACTCAGGATGGTGATGATTTCGAGCAACTGAATTTTGGGAGGACACACGATCGACTTGTTTTTCGCCATACAATCGTATCAGAGGCTGAGCCATCACGGGGCTTGTTGAGCTGTCCTTCGTCCTATCATATTCTGTCTCAACTGATGTTCCTAGGTTGAGTAATGGATTTTTTGGCTTATGTAGCACATGTTTACCATTTCGAATCATGGTAGACAGTTATTAGAACCGAAGCACAAGTGGCACTTTCTGGTTTCGCGAAGCGGTTCTGAATTTCGCTCTATCGGATCAACAGCATGTCCATATTTCTTATGGGACAAGTCCACAGAGGATTCGAAACGTGTCTGTCATTACATATGGCTCATGCAGAGGTTTCAGTGAATCTGGCAAGTGCATTAATCTTTCCAAGGAGGTCAGATTATAATTTCACCCAATACCGATCCATTGCTTTTGATTGGGGATGTATTCGGCAAGTATTTGCTCATCAGAAAAAACAGACAAAACTGGTTTGTTACTTTGGTGAAAACTCTTCCGCAGCCTACTGCAAGTTCGCCTTTCCAGAGGCTGGAGAATCCCATAGATGGGTTCAATCTGGTCTCCCATTAATACCTAATTGGTTTGCAAACTGATGTTCCACGTACTTTATCAGTGCTCATATGTCACCTTTGGTTACAAGGGGTTGTATCACGGTTGAAACACTGACTAGATTTTCACGCACTCAGCGCAAGGAGATAAACACACTCGTTTGCAAATCGCTTTGGTTTTCACGGGAGACTCAACTGAGTCTCTCGTTTATGATATTCTTCAACTGAATATGCTGCACAAAGTTTCAGTTGGTACGATATTCGAGATGTTGCAGTATATTTTCAAGTAGAAAATAAGGTTGATGAAAACTTGGGGAACTCACGCCTACCTGGTGAGCCCAAATAAAGGCGAAACCGGTCGTGGGCTGTCGAACGGTTTTCAGCAACCTTAGTAGTAGTGTATTAGCTCGGTGTTCGTTTGCGAATCTCGGTGCATTTTGATGCATTCGAACTTTGCGCACTATTGCGAGTCACCCGGCATGCGCTGTTTTCTCCTTGTTTGCATGGCTGACCAGAACAGAATAAGTTCCTCGGATATTTGACCGATGTGGAAAGGGAATAAAGGAACTATGGAGTAGGTACATCGCTTTCACACACTGTTTGATGAAATTATTTCTATCACTAGTCGAGTGTGGTTAATAAACTGGGTCATTCTCTAAGAGACCATTCTATCAGGAATATGAGTGATTGAAGCAGACGCCTTGATCAAGGAAACGATGCCAAAAGTGTGCTATCAGATCGCTGTTTTATGCATCAATTTACCACTCATATATGGGAATTATTCTTGCCGTCGAGCGATTATGGCGCTGTGAACCTCAAACAGTTGGGAAGGCACTGCTGGATATCATCCGTTGTAAGGTATTTCAGATGCCTTCTTATCGCCAACCATTTTGTGGGGAGTCTCAGAATAATTGCAAATCCATCCACTTGGGAACACGACACCACCACCGGACCGTTTTTGAGCTCTAGCCACATTGCCACTTATTGCTTGATCTCAGTGTTCTATGCATGTGACAAACTTCTAGACGCTCTAATGAACATCATATTTTCAACATGTCTTATAAAAATTAGGATAGCCTTTCCATACCCATCATTCTAGCTAACTAGGGGGTGGGTACTACTTTCTGCTATTGGTTGTACATAAGTTAAAAGTACCACAGAGTTGTAAACAGCAATGTAGGTGTGCAGAAATCAACCTACTGTGAATAGTGGATCTTTAGTAAACAAAAATGGCCATTAGAAAGTGGTGAAAAATGTTACCTGGCGCTGTCTGAGTCCTCTGTCTTCTTCGAGGTCGGGAATGTACGTTGTCTCTTTTGACTTGGGGCATTATGCTTGCTCAACGTTTTGCTTCGAAATGAGTAGATTCTAAGTTGTGGGGTGTTGAAGTGTACAACTTATACTTCCGTAGAACTTCACGAGTGAAGATACGTTGACAGTTTATCCTAACTAACTGCGCAGAAAAAGGTCTAGTCGTCTGGTATTCAGATTTTACGATTGTGGAATAATGGTTTCACTCGTAAACCCTACTGTTATGGCTTGTTGAACCAGAACTTCAGATTTGTGAATAAACAGTTGAGGCAACGTGGCCCACCGAATGAAACTGGCTTACCAGACCAGAGGGCTGTATTCATCTGTTGATCCACTACATAGAGATGTACCTAATCGTATGCATGTATGCGACTTGATGTGTATGGCTATGCTGGTACGGGATTCCTTCGTCATCTAAATTTTGTTTGTATTATATAAATTTGGCTTCCTGTTTTGGACAGTGGGATGGCTTTGTGGCTAAATTATAATTGTCTCCTAGTGAGGTTGAAACGCAGCAACGATTGGCAACGTTCACTTATTATGTTTCAACCATCAGTCTTAAGCATATTCGGACCATTCCATCTGAAGCACACATCATGTATCCATGTACATTGTGGAAATTCTCATGTTCGTTGTGAGTTTCTTGGATAAATCCAACTATTTGTACTTATTTGGAGGCAATGGTACTCAGACAACTTTCATCTTGCCAATAACCTTTTGTCTTCCACGCAGAACATGGTGGTAGCAATGCTCTACCTTGTACAATTGGAGTAGTGCAAATATGTCGCACTTTATGCCTCTATTTTTGCACAGTGAGTCAAGTTGAAACTATAATTGAGTAAACTGAGATCGTCATCTCACTAAACTGGGTCTCTTCTTTTAATCTACGTAACTTTTCGAGGGAGGATTTCAGCAACCTCTTGGCTCCTGTTTCAAGTCAAAAGTGCACCTGGATATCTCGAATATAGGATGTCAATCGAAACAAGGTGATCTTTGTGTAACACATCCAGTTAAGCGAGAGATTAAACTGAGTCCTCTGCTGACACCCGCTTAATTTGCAAATAAATGTATTTCGTCCTCTTGGTCAAGGCTGTTTGCCTCATTGGCGATCCGTTTCTAAAATTTGTTACCTCTTCGAGAAATATACTCATTTGCAAATCAATTTGGTTTTCACGAGAGACTCAACTGAATCTCTCATTTATGATATTCTACAACTGAATGTGCAGCACACAGGCCGCCTCATGTTCCGGTTGGCACCATATTCGAGATATCGCAGTATATTTTCATTTCGCCCCAAGAAGAGCGAAACCGTTCGTGGGCTGTCGAAGTGTTTTCAGCAACCTTGTTAGTAGTTTCCTNTCGAAAACAGTCCAATTTGGGTTCAAGTAAAACATAATTTTGACGGAAACTCGGGAACTGGGTCAACCGAATGAGCCCCAAAAGGGGCGAAACCGGTCGTGGGCTGTCGAAGAGTTTTAAGCAACCTTGTGAGTAGTTTCATTTATGAAAACATTTGTTACTTTTGTTTCAATCGTTTCGTCAAAACGATCTGAATACAAATGTATCTGCTGCAACCGCCAAATTCCAATCTAGTCAGCTGGGTTAATACCCACTGTCAGTTTTCTGGTTTCCTATCCCCAAACTGCGAGCTGAATTTTTCAGCCTGTAGAAAAAAACAATCACCTAGGAACACGAGTGACAAACTCGGTGTGATCGTTTCAGTACAACGTGGTGGCGGTAAGCACTAAAGTAGCCCAGGCTTTTCTCTAAAATCAGTTGAATATATGTTGGAGCTGACGCAAGTGGAGCAAAGTTGCCAGAAAAATGGTGGAAGAGCGGTGGAATTTTCGGTCACCATTGAAGACATGTGTGATAACTCCTCTTCTCCACTACCCTCTACGTACCTACTGCAAACCAAATCACTAAATGCCTTTCAAGTAACCCTGTAAAAGCTGACAACGAACGCATTTTCAGACTAATTTGGTCACACAGTATCGACCTTCTGCAATGAAGGTCCGGTGGTATCTCTCTCATGTACCACAACACCACAAGGTATCAGTCCATTTGCTGCTGCAAATTATTGTTCAGTGGGGGATTACGCGCCTGTCCTCGGCCAAATGTCATGCAACCAGATCCAACAGCTGTTCCGTTAGTCTTGCTGAAGCAAAGTAAACAACGACCACCACATATTTTTTTACCACTGGTGAACTTTAAATTGACACAGGGAACCGAGTATCCCGACATCCATCTCACAAAATGCTCGAAAATGTGAGAGTATCATAGTTATGTAGATTTGTTGCTGCCATATCTGCTGATTTGTCAATCTATGGTATCTGCTGTCGACCTGAACCAATGCCTAATGCCGGAGAAAAAAGAATCACAGAAGGGAACACAACAGCTATATTCCTAACAAACGAGTGCGAGAGCAAAAGTTACAACGGCCTTACGCTATTTAAAGGGGACTTTCTGACATTGATCCAGGCCGTCTGATAGGCGTTAGTGAACACCCATCAACATCGATCGTGCCTCTATGACATCCCTGAACGAAGATCACATTCGGTTGTGTTTCTGTGGCGTGCATGAACACTCATCAGCTTTCGCTGGATTGATTGGATGAC